ATTTTTTTAGGAGATTAAAATATGAGGGCTTAAGGAAGGTCCATACTTTTACAGATCCAGTTTTAATTTTACACACCAAAATAAAATTCTGATTATCACTTATCTGTTGAAAAAATCTATTTGGATGATTGAAAATAATTTAGCAAGTATGTATTTGTTTATTTTAATGTAATTGAGCATTAAACATCGTTATTTATGGAAATTTTAACACTTTGCACTCTTTCCGTAGGAACTATATGTCATATGGTAATACACAGACACAAAATTCTTAATTGCCTTTATGGACCTAATGCTTTTTATTTTTTTTTTAAACAAACTAACTTGAGATCTATTTTGATTGATTTTAAAGCCTATATCATCTTTTTAAATTCAACTTTTAAAAATTTTTTGCCAAAAATGATTGAAAAATTGATATTTAAGATATGAGGGTATACGTGTTCAAAAGCCTGTTTTGTTAAATTTATCTGGTTGAACATAATGAACGATGTGTTTTTGTTAACCTTAGATATAATTCTTAATATTTTTAAAGAAAAAATGGCATCTAAACAATTTCGATTTTGAGAAATATTAAAAATTAAGAAATATTGAGATTTGTATTTGAAAGACGTGGGCAGATTCAACATCAATTTGTTAATGTTTTCCAGTAAAGATTTCAAATATTCTCTTGGCAAATGAATATTTTTGATTTTCATAAGTTTTAACATAAATTACATGTGATTTGGTGCATAGCTAAATGAAATATGATATCTCACTTCTTTAAGATCAATTTTGGCTGTTGAAGTTTTAGAGGTATGTACTCTGAGACATGTTGTATGAATATTCACCTGCCAAGATATGTCTTTTTTGGGTGTTTTAGTCAGTTTATGAATTATCTAAGGTATTTATATTAAAAAATTAATAGTTTGACAGAAAATTTTGAAAGTACGGACCTACCTTAAAGTACAATTCAACTTTTATTAATTGGAATTTATCATCACATTGAAGTTTCACATGTACCGGTACTATAATTTGAGATGAACATTTTAGGGGCTTATGGTGCTGCTGTATTGTATAGAAAGAAAGATGATGACTCTCTTGTGATCTTGAAGGAAATTAACATGCACGACCTGAATGCAGCAGAGAGACAGCTGGCTCTGAACGAGGTGACAAATTTATACTGAAGATTAATGTCCAAAATTGTTTTTTTTTTATTTTAATGGTTTTGTATTTACATGTAGATTGAAAAATCATAGTTTGAAAAAGACAGTACATGTAATGGAAATATTCAACATTTGTATAACTTCTAAAACAATTTTTGTACAAAGTATCAAAACAGGTTAGCCAGGAAATTCTTGCTTAAAATTTAGACAATTCTAAAACAAACAAAAGCAGTGATAATGTAATTGAGTCTATTTGTGGTTTATCAGGTGTCTATCCTGGCTATGCTGGACCAACCTAACATCATCAGTTACTATGACAGTTTCGTTATTTATCAGTTAATATGACAGTTTTGTTATTTATCAGTTACTATGACAGTTTTGTTATTTATCAGTTACTATGACAGTTTTGTTATTAATCAGGTGTCTATCCTGGCTATGTTGGACCACCCTAACATCATCAGTTACTAAGACAGTTTTGTTATTTATCAGTTACTATGACAGTTTTGTTATTTATCAGTTACTATGACAGTTTTGTTATTTATCAGTTACTATGACAGTTTTGTTATTTATCAGTTACTATGACAGTTTTGTTATTTATCAGGTGTCTATCCTGGCTATGTTGGATCACCCTAACATCATCAGTTACTATGACAGTTTTGTTATTTATCAGGTGTCTATCCTGGCTATGTTGGATCACCCTAACATCATCAGTTAATATGACAGTTTTGTTATTTATCAGTTACTATGACAGTTTTGTTATTTATCAGTTACTATGACAGTTTTGTTATTAATCAGGTGTCTATCCTGGCTATGTTGGACCACCCTAACATCATCAGTTACTAAGACAGTTTTGTTATTTATCAGTTACTATGACAGTTTTGTTATTTATCAGTTACTATGACAGTTTTGTTATTTATCAGTTACTATGACAGTTTTGTTATTTATCAGTTACTATGACAAAACAATAAAAACTGGAGACCAACACCCTGAGGTTCAAATTGCGGAAGATTCTCACGTGTGGATACCGAAAGGTATTCAATAGGCTCTGTACCTAAAGTTGTAAACTAAAAGATATAAAACAGATCACCAACACTTCGTAAGAATGCAGCAGTAAATTTATTTGGTTGACCGGTTTCGACCAGAGGCGGTCGTCATCAGAACAAATATACATGAAATGATTATACATGAAGTAAAAATTGCGGACTACGTTACTATGTAAATAAAGAATGCGGACGTCATAACAACTTGCGGACTTGAATTTTTACATTATGCGGACTTGAATTTTTACATTAATAATTTAACAACCATAATCGTGTGAAATTGTCACAAAACTTTACATTACATTATTTATCATTAATAAT